TTTTAGTCAAATCCAACTAGTCGGTCAAATATAGGTGCAAACAAGTTTTGAATTGACTTTAAATTTAATGTTTTCGTTTTCAAGTTGGCACTAGCTTTTCGTTACTGGTAGGATATCATCCAATCCGAACGCAGTATTGATGATATAATAGCTAGTTGGATTTGACTAAACTAAATTTGCTTTGATCGATGGATACTTCTAGCCTGCCGTGCAGACGTTTTTAGGCTCGTTCCGACACTAAAAACGGAACGAGCCGGCACTAAAAACGTCTGCACGGCAGGCTATCATACTTCTCAACTTCACTGGAAACGAATATCATTTAAAAAATTATTTTACTCAAGATGATGATTAGAGGAATTTGTTTGTGAAGTTAAAATATATGCTTAGTACTTTTCTCAAGTTTTCTATCAGAAGGGAGATGCTTTTGATTGGACGATAATATCACGTGATCTTTGTCGCTGTTTTCAAAAGCAAACGTGAAGCACGCGAAGAAGTGACTCCATAACAACACTACTAACTGCTTTAACCTGAATTTAAAGGAAATTATCCTCCCTAAAAAAGGTAAATTAATGCCAGATAAATCTCATCATATTCCATAGAAGCTATGGACAATATTTTTTAACTTATTTGTATCGTAGTTCCAAGCGTAAAAGTGCTGACATGCTGAAACTGTTTTAAGGTGACTGACTACTTAAGCAAGTAATAATTAGAAAACTTTATTAACAAAAATGTTTTATTTTACTTTTTAAGATATGTTAATGTACAGAATCTAACGCTGATTCTAAAAATGTAAAGAAAAATAAGATGTCCCGAGCTCGCTTTCGAGTTATTGAATACTACCACCTTGACAAGTTTTCGAAAGAAAAATGGCAAAAACCAAGCTTTGAACAAAAAAATTAAAAACTAAAAATTTAGAAAAGCTACAGAAGGAATTTTTTCATGACATCGATTTTAAACTCTATTTTTGATGACTAACTTAAAATATTTGAATAACGTTTTGAAAATAAGCTCGAAATATGGCATTTTGTTTGTTCAATTTACCAAAAAAATTGTACTCAAACGTGGTGACAAGAAAGACACAAGCAACGGGTTTTTTATGAGTTTATAATTAGGTTTTTTCAAAATTTGACAAAAGAGTACTTCATTTTAACTTGTTGTTTTAGGAAATTAATAATGATATAAATAGGACTGAGTGGATTCCAATAGACGACTTGCACTAACAAGTCACGTGACCCCACTTCCTTTAAAATGAGCAGCTGCGCTAAAATGACCAACAGAAATGAAAAGAGCACCTCGACATTAGTAGGGTGGCGGAGTTTTAGCTCACAACAAGCGAAAAAGGAAAAATGACATTCAATATAAAATGGAATGGCAAATGCTGGATGACAAAGCACATTTTTCCATACATGGTAGGGTCACGTGACCTGTTAGTGCAAGTCGTCTATTCGGTCTGTAATCATACGAGTCAACGAATAGAGGTTATTACACTATTACAGCCGGATAATTTTACGAGTGAAAGCGGCCGTATTTTTTTATTTTTCATTTTTTAATACAAAAATACAGACAAAGAAGTACAAAAATACAAAATACAAAAATACTGACAAAGAAATGACCGTAAATAATTTTCGCTATTGCGGACGCTCGCTATTACGGACATGAAGTGACGGTCCCGAGGGTGTCCGCTGTAACGAGAGTTGACTGTGTATCAGATTTGAGGAAATTGTAATAGTTAGGGACTGGTCAGAAATTAGCAGGGTGTGCAATCTTTACTAACATAATGTCATAGAAAATCCTGTTTATCAGACACCACTTCTAAACGACAAACTTTTCCTTTATTTTAGATTAACTATTACCTTTTTCGCTCTTGTCGAGAAGAGCTTTGCAAAACAAATATAATGGCGTTCTGGTCAAGAATATTTCCGTGCATCAGACGCACTACTCGAGTTCAAGCATTTGAGCCCGCCCGCACTCGTTATGGTTTAAAGAAGTTGGCCATCATTGCTGTGGTAGCAGTTGTTATTATAATAGTGCTAAGCGTGTCAATCGCAGTCCCTTTGAGTGTAACAAGTGCATTAAGTAGTGCATCATCTGGAACAAGAGGTGGCCCCACAAGTAACACAACAATTAACGCAACAAGTGGTCCAACAAATGTTTCAACAGGCATAACAAGTGGTCCAACAGGTGGTGCAAGCAACGCAGCAATAGGTGAGTAGTTGTCTTTACTTGCAGTGAAAGAGCGATTTACACAGTACAGCTTTTGCTTATGACTGTTGCATGCAATCTTCTTACTCCATTAGTACAACACGAATTGCTCTTATCGCAGTTGAGCACGTCACTCCGACAAACCAGACTATCGGGTTGAGCTTCGAAGAGCTTGCTAAGAAATCAAATCTTCGAGAGATCACATTTTGATAAATATATCTTTGTTATACAAAGTATTTTTTTTTGTCTTCCTAACTGTGGTCAAACACTATATAGCTTTTGGAGGTATGACCACAGTTTTGAAGGCAGAAGGCAGAAGGCAAGGAATTCTATCGGGCATTTGCCACCGAACAAAATTCATAATTTGCCCCGGTTGACAAAATTTTGAAAGAACACTCCAGTCGACACAATTTCTTACATTTGTAGCAATAATTTCAAATACCGAATGCTTTTTTAAGCCACATGGAGGACAAGGGATTTGTGTGACATTTTTGAAGCCAGTATCTGTGCCATAAAGTTCGCTTTTATCGTAGAAAAGATAGAAATGTAGTGATCGTTCGTACGGCCAAACATACCCGGACTTGTAAACTACCATATTGATTACGGCAGTCGAATTTTTGGTAATCTAAAAGAAACATGAATCAAACTATGCTATGTTTGTGAGCGTTTAGTCTGCTAGTCGTGACCATCGCATTATTCGGTCCTTATTTGATAGCCCCAAGTTTGTGAGTCTGTAAAGCTATTCGCTTCCTATTTCTAAACGAAGATAGGATAGTTAAGATTCGAACAACTCTTTTTAACATACTTGAGAACTTAGGCCCTGGCTAAACGAGAAAACATGTTTCCAGAAACATGTTTTCTTAAATGATGTTTCCAAAGGTGGCAAAACTGTCAGGGAACATCGGGAAACATCTTTACTTAATATCGGTTAGCGCATGCGCACTTTCAAGATAAAGCTAGCGTTGCTAAGTAAAGAACTTTTAGAATGTTGACTTTCGTGGCTAAACGAGGAAACATTGGGAAACATTGTTTCCATGCGTCTTGGAAACATGAAATCGCATGTGGCTAAACTTGGAATCATCGGGGAACAAGCAAGCGGGAAACATGTTTCTGGAAACTTGTTTCCTCGTTTAGCCAGGGCCTAAAGAACAAAATTGACATCCGTACGAATTAGAGCACTTGTAACCGGTGTTTCAACAAGAGCCTCTTCGCATAGTGTGCACAGTGTAAAAACAAAAAACTTGGACTGCATACATCTCGCCTTCAAATCATTTATCTTTCCTCCCAGTGGCTTAATGAAGCATTCATATTCGAAATGTCGACTATAGATGTAAGACGTTTTGGTAACTCACAGTTCTCTCGACGTATTTGGATGAGCCATGCCATTCAGCGAGTAACTTTTTATAGTTATCAATGGTAGCATAAGCCACGATAATTTATTGCGTTCTGCCTTCAAACTGTTCATACATCCAAAAGCTATAGTCGGTTTGACCATAGTTAGAAAGACGACAAAAAACTTTTTATAAGAAAGACATCCATCAAAACTGTTGTGACCACTCGAAGTTCTGTAGTAAATTTCTTAGCACGACCCGATAGTCTCGTTTTGATGTTACGCTCATTGCAATACCGCTGGTTTGTTGGAGTGGCGCGCTCAACTACGATAACAACCAGAGCAAGCCTCGTCCCCAGGGCCCTCTCTGTCGACTCCAAATCATGGCAGTCGTCGGGGAGAAGACCCTGGTGTTAATAAGCGCTATTGCGGGCGTTTGATTCATATTGACTAGACGCCCGCAATAGCGCATACTCGGTGTTCTTCCGTGTTTAAATAATAAAGTTGTCGACCTTCAATTCCTCGTAGTAGGCTTTCACCGAGTTTCAAGTCATTTTTACTCGTAGATTCTCTTTTGTTCACTGGTTATGAGATAAAATATCCCTAGGCTTCGATCGATATTAGACACACTTAACCGCCGTCTCGGTCAACAACTCGAAGATTTGCAACAAAAAGTAACTAGCGATTTACATATCCAAATAAAGGCAAGTTATGATGAAAAGGTAAATTATACACCGTGAAAAGATGAAAAAACTTACTGACGTTTCGGACGCTAGTCCTTCGTCGGAGTAAAAGAGGAAGCTCTTTTACTCCGACCAAGGACTAGCGTCCGAAACGTCAGTAAGCTTTTTCATCTTTTCAGGGTGTATAATTTACCTTTTCATCATTACTGTTTCATTAGAAACACCGACGCAGCTCACACTAGTTTTTAGCTAGTTATATCCAAATAAAGGCAAGTTGAATAATATTTCTAAAGGAATTTGTAGAAAAGATCGGCTTATTTTGTCGAGTAAATGAATATTTTCTGATCTTGTCGCATTGTGACGGCATGTTGACGAGTACTGTGACTGACATGCATTAAAACGCAACACTGTTCATGATAAGTGTGCTACATTTCACACCCTTCTAATATTCGGTGCGCCATTTTGAATAATTTATCGATGACGTCAAACGCGGAAAGATGAGCCCTTTGTTATATATATTTCCCGCCATGGCCACTTGTAACTCAGCGCTTCACGTCCTGCAGATGTATTTAGCCCATATTCAAAGAAAATTAAAAGTATTAGAGCCTTTACTTCAGTTTGTGAATGTTCCAAATTTCTATACGTATTATTTAAACCTCCTGGTTGGAGACGAAGAAGAAATTGTTGCGGCTCCAGCTGATCCAAGTTGTACATACGACAAGGCAAGTTAATAATAGGTCAACGTTCGTTCAAACATCACCGAGCTATTTTTTCAAAATATTGCTACTTGGGGTCTATCGAGATCACAAGGGAGTCAGTAGTTAAGATTTGGAATAAATATCAACCTCAGAAGACGATAATTTTTCATTGTTCAGTAGCCGTTTATTTCGAAGTTGATAACTGAATTGCATAGTTTTGACAAAGTACAGAATCAGCGATGAACAATATTGGCGAGGAAATAACAAGACAAGATTTTAAAGAAATGGTTAAAAACCACTCTAAATGATATGTATCGAAGTATTTTTACCTTAATAAAAYCTTTTCTTGGCGAGAACTTTGCAGTTCGTAACTTCAAAACCGTTTCGAATATTTGCTGTTTAGTTACATATTAACACGGGGATACCAATCAAAGTATTGTTGCTTTTTGATTTGTTATAATAGAAGCCTACATAGTCTCCCTTGCATCCATTTTTAGTGTCGGTCTAAAAACGGATGCGAGGGAGACTAAAGCCTACATTAACCGTTCTGAAAAGCATGTGGGGGGAAAATCTAAACCATTTATCGTAAAAAAAGTTGAAAAAGGAAACAATGATTTATCTAACATAAAATGGTTATAGATTGTTTTCTAAAATATCCTGGGAATAAAGTTATTATTATTATTATTATTATTATTATTATTATCATCATCATTATTATTATTATTATTATTATTATCATCATCATTATTATTATTATTATTATTATTATTATTGAACAGTTTGCAAAGGAGGTTGGATTGAGCGTGTTAATATGTCTACTTGGTATTGCTTCARTCATWCTGCCCAACKTACCTGGAACCAAGCAGTTGAAGCATGCCGCCTTATAGGTGGTCATTTGGTGGATATCCGTACCGAAGATGAATGGTTGTTTGTTAAGGTTCACCTCATCAATGGTACTGCAGCACATGACCAGTACTTCATCGGCATAAGTGATATTGCAAGCGAAGGCTCGTGGAAGTATCTCGATGGTACCGATGCCACATACGTGAATTGGGCTAGCGGGGAACCAAACGGAGGTCGACGTGAAAACTGTGGAGCCATGTATTCTAATTTTGAGTATAAAGGTCGTTACAATGATAACAGTTGCACGTATAAAGGACGTTACGTTTGTAAAAAATGAAGATAAATTTTAAACTTCCTAAGCAAATGAGCTTTTATCGTTTTCTTTTTTCTTTTTGATTGTTTTGGTTTTATTAAAAGACGTTTGAAGGCAAATGAAGTTACAATCAGAATTTTTTTAAACTTGGCACAAACATACCCCAACATATTCTTGTACAAAAAATTAGATAACAAAACATGTGGGTTACCGAATTCTTTTTTCTTTTTCTTTGCTAAACGTAGTATTCATCAAGGAAGAAACGCGCGTAGAATTGCCACAATTTAAGTACGCCGAAAAGATTAGGCTTTTTTTCGGCGAAGCGATCGACAAGTCGCGAGTAGTCGACCTCAACTTGTCCAGCGTGCAGTAAATCAAATTTAATTTGCATAAAACTGGCGCGAAAGAGTCGCATGTACATTTTCGCTGCTAAAAGATGGCTGAAAATTACTTACTTTCGCTTGGTCCGTGTACTGTTGATCCAAATAGCCTTCTACGTCCCGTGAAAAATTTGAGGGTTTTGTCCTGTTGAAGTTCGAAACGCGTATGGTTCCTCAATAAAATCATGTAGATTTTACAGCGGTTTTTGACACAGGGAGCCCAATTTAGATTAAAGTGAATGGTGAAAATAAAATCGGAAAAATTAAATATTTAATATTTTTTTAAATTCGAGATCAAGATAATGTCCTCCGTAATGCGAAAGAATAAGAAAATCAATAAAAAATGCACTAGAACATTTTTTTTTCGCGCGCGCCTTTGTTTTCCTATGCAATTCCCCTATGGTATCTGATGTCGATCTTATGTATATATACTCTGACAAGGGAGGAAACTTCAGTTACCATATTTGAACAACCAACTCACTTTAAACCACGATTTAATTGTCTTTTAAACCTCGAACTCCACAAAAAACTTGATAAAAATGATTCCTATCATGGGGACTCATTTATTTCAATCATTTATTTCAATCATTTATTTCAATCATTGATTCATAATTTTATGTAAAACAATAAGTCTATCAAATATGATGTATTTATAAAGTTGTTTTAATTATTATTGTTTAAAGATTTTAATGTATACCACTTAACCACACTAAATATCTATATAGTTATATTTTTATATGTTTTATCAGATCTTCTTGTAAAGCGCCGTTGAACCATGGGGATATTAGCGCTATATAAATCATAATTTATTATTATTATTATTATTTATTATTATTAAAACTCTGAGTGAAATTTTCGTGCAGAAAATGTTTCGCTTGCAGAAAATGTTCTGCCATGTTATGTCAAGGTTACTACCTGCGTAGGACTCGGGCGAGAACGAATTTCGACCTTACTACTCTCCCGCACAGTATTTTCGTAACGTGCCAGTACACGACCCACCACCAGCCACCCTACAGAACTTTTTCTTGCCAAGGATAAAACATAAAATTCTAACACCACTACTGTTCATCATTTGCGACCGTTTGTGAAAAGTAAGATTGTATTTGCTGTGGGCTGAGGTATTCCTCACAGCTAAAGAGCTTTGAGCCATCCATATTTCGGGCAAATCTCACATCACGAGAGACGGCATTTGGATCTTGCTTCTGACTTGTGGCCTGACCAAGGTTGAACTTCTCTTCCAAGTATTGCTCTTAGCGTCATTGAACCGATTGGCTTTTCTATTTGTTTTCAAAGCTCACCCTTCAGGTAAAGTAGCAGTGGCAGATGTGTTGCTATGTGCAGCTGATGTTGTTGACGAAATGACGCTATCGGCACCTTCAGCTAAAAGAAGATGATACCTTTTCTTTGCTGAATCAAGAAGGCAGTGGCGGATTCAGGATTTTTCAAAGGGGGGTTCCGGCCCGTTTCTTAAACTGCGTATAATTCACTTTTGTTTAGTCGATGTCTGACAAAAAAATTGGCTCTAATTATCACCTAATTTACTATCTAGTAACGGAACTTTAGGTAAAGGTAAATTAAACATTATAACAGCAAATATTTATCATTTCGTGTTCAACATTATCCTTGTGGATACTTTTAAGCAAAATTTATATAAGACAGATTTCTATTACCTAAAAGATCAAACCTTCAAGGGGGGTTCCGTGGAACCCTTCGAACCCCTCCTGGATCCGCCACTGGAAGGGAGTCCCTTTCAGGAGGCATCATCTTGCATTGTCCGAATGAAAGGTGTTTCTCGAGACTAGAGTAACGTTGGTACATCTTCACACACCCTTCATTTGGACAAGTAAAGATTTCACCTATAGGTGAACTGTCTTGCTGCACCACTTTCGGCTGCTGGTCTTTCACTTTCAAAGAACTTTCCTTCGAAACATTGACAAAGTCGCAAGTGGAAAACTTAGTCTGGAATAAGCAAGTCTAAAGATAGTCTGGAACTACAAGTAAAAAATGAACAGCCTTTTATCACGTCACCAAAGGGCAATGCAATGCAATACAAAATGATGGGGTTCCGAGAAACCATGCAATTACTATCCAACAAAAAAAAAAAAACTAAAATAGCATAAAATTAACTTATTTTCAAAAATTTTGAGATAAGTAAAAAAAGGGAAAAGGGTGAATTAAAAAAAAAAAAAAAAAAAAAAAAAGAACTGGAAAAGCCTTGGGCAGCTATTTCAGTGAAGTTTGGGTTATTGCTCTAGCTGCTCCTAATAGCTGAGCTACAGAAATATTTTTAAGAATGAAATTACCTCTGATTTCGCTTTCTTTTAACAATTTTCTTTTGCCTATTTGAAATGCCTTCCAAACTTTTATACCCTTATTACTGTACTCGAAATTGTTCAGGAAACTGATTCCGGCTAGTTTTACTTGAGGCACTTTGGAATGCATTTCCGTGTCATCTGCATCGACCAGAGCAACACGGACACCATTTAACCCACCTTCAGATACAATAGCATCACGGAGATCTTGAGCATTCTGCACATCGTGGCCCTCATTGATGTATCGCCTTATGTGAGCCTTTCCTGTCGCACGCCCCCTTGCCTCCTTGGGTGTCGCTAAAATCAGCCCCACGAATGCTGATTCCAGTCTTCGTCTTCATCAGACAACAAGACGCTATCAAAAGTGAGCTATGGCATCCAGCGTTGTCCTGGCGAACATCAGCTGTTGTAATCTCTGGATGCTCAGATTTCAGTGAACGTAAGGTGTGCTCTAGGATACGTACGACAGATAATGTGTCTTGAGAGCATTTCTCAGCAATGTGAATAAAGGACTGAGTTTGCAGGTGTCCATCCAGAGACTTGTTATGTCATGCATTTTCTCTTGTAAAATACATCCAACAGCGTACGTTCAACTAAAAAAGTACGGTGGTTTTTTCAATAGAATTCAATCTAAACCATATAATACAGTCCGTGAATTAGTTGAATTAACTGAATCCACTTCTGTTTTTTGCCTAGATAGTCATTGTTTTGAGAAAAGATCCAAAAACCGTGTTTTTGAGCAGTTGTATGGGCTCACATGAGGGGGCGTGAGCTTGAAATCGTCGATGACCAAATGTTAACAGATTTTTTCTGATGAACATCGGGATTAAGAGTATTTCTGTAAAAAAATTTCCGTGTAAAAATACGCTTTTTAGTAAACCTTTTTTTAAAAAAGACTTGTATGTGAAACATGGTTTCATATATTCAGGGTTTAAATTCTCTTCGAATTTCGAAAATATCAATTAGGCAGCATCGGGAAATGACTGGCTTCTGATCTGACAAAGGCAACCCAAACTGGTGTCAAGCTTAGTGTCGCTGTGGCTCGCAGCAAAAACGTTAAGAGAAGAGAGGCATTTGATTGGACGATGCATATCACGTGACCTTCTTCGCACGTTTTCACTTTGAAAACCAACTTGAAGTAGAAAGAGCGACGCCATAACTCTAAATACTGTTTTACTGGCATTTTCCTCCCTGAAAAAGGTAAATTAATTCAATATTGAACCTTACATGTTCTGTAGAAATTGTCGATTATACTTTTACCTGTTCTAACTGTTTTTCAGCGTTTTAACGGACGTCATTTTATTTGCAAACTTTTGAAAAACTTGCAGACCAATCTAATTGTGGAAACTCGCTAAGGCTTTTAGGGAAAAACATATTAGCTTAACTCCAAGAAAGAATGTATGCTTTAGAAAATGTCTTTCTTTTTTAAAACATGAACAATCTTTGTATTCATATTTTAGTTCAAGCGTCAAAGTTGTGTTTTTAGCTTTTGTTGCTTCATCAATCATTTGCTGTCTCTGTTTTCTTCATTTTGACAAACCTCGGTAGTCAGAAAAACTGTTTTAAGATTATAATTTAAAGCCTTCCGGTAAGTTTTTCTCATGCTATCCTGAAATAGGTTATCTTCTGTACAGTTCAGTTTATTATTTTAGTTTACTTACTCCATGATTTTGAACAAGGCTTTAATAAAACATGTCTTTTTTTACCAATAACGAGCCAAATTCTTGGTAATTTGTCCGCCATTTTGACTTCCGTGACTCCGCTCAGTTTTGTCGGCCAAGTACGTTAATAGTGGCTTTGAAAACCATGGAAAAAGAAAAAACATCGTTGAAAAAAAATAATTCACAGGTCGGGAAAGAATCATATGAATCTTGAGCTTTTGCTTATTTAGCTAATGTGAAATATTTGAAGTCTTGTAACTAATGAGCTTTTATCAGGTATTTTCAAGTTAGTCAAACAGAAAATACTATACGAGCTAAAAAGAGCATTTTAGGATAAATAAAGCTGTATCTTAAGTTTGGGAAAAAATAAGTCCAAGATTCGCGAAGATAGAATTTTAAAAAGTGTTGATTTGTATTGAGTTAATCGTATGGGGTCGAGTGTTTTCAAAGTTTTGAAAGTGCCCGAGTCGCGAAGTTTATCATATGTAGGGCAAAATGCAACGCAAAAAATCCCTCTTGAAACCAATATAATGTCCGTGCACTGTCATTAATTCTGAACTATCAAATCAAATGTAGTTATGGTTCAAAAGAATTTTATTTAACAGACACAGGATGTTGAGAGAACACGAGAGGAGCGTAGGAAACCACGCGTAATAGATTAAAATTTGACA